ACCGGGTTGGTGGACACGGAAAGGGAGTTGGAAAACCCTGATTCCAAACCAATGGTGCACATGGGCTCCAGTATCCTGAAGGAACAAATGGCGGACGAATCAATCGTTGGTCACCGGCTACCATGGGACTGCATCTCCTTACGATGCTCCACTGCCTTGTGGACTAGACCTTCAGGTCAAAGACTCCGGGTGTGGCCCCCTAAGAAAACCACCTGCTTCATTCTGGGCACCTGGGCAGTATCACATCCCTCACACAAATCAAATGAGAGTTGTGAGACGCATATTTATCTGGTGCTTCTTTGTACCAATATTTATGTGTTTAAATACATACATAGATATCAGTCCTTGATGAGATATTACATTCAGAAGTGTATCCTGTAAACTTACGCAGACTTAGAGTATCGAAAGTTTTATAAAGGTTGATATACGGTCGGGATATTTAAATATCTTATTCTATTTTAATGTTTAATTATATATTTGAATATTTTTGTATTATCAGAGGAAATGCATAATAAACATTGAAGAACGATATTGGTATTAGTATCTGCATAAGTAATAAAACTGTAATAGTCTAATTTAATTGAAGTACCAATATTCAGTCAATCTCATGACAGAATAATTGACAAAACTTAGCACAGACTGCGAAAGAGGAAAATAAAATTGGCTATCCTATGATCTAGTCTGTTTCAAGTAAAACTCTTAGAAAATATAACAGTCTAGTTTCATTTCCTCTTCGTTTCTCTTAAAGATCATCAGAACTATTATCCCAGAATCAGTGATATGTTATATGTGGTATATTATATAAATCGAATTGGAACTACTAACAGACAGTAATGATATCAATAATATGTCACATTTAAGTGAAAATTGACACAGTTGCATGAAAATTGTATAAATTATTCCGTGTACCATGTCATTTTTCTAGTATTATCATATCGATTAATTGAAACGGATAACATATGGAACGAATATCTTTAAATTTGTGATATTTTCTATTCCACTTGACCTAATACTTTTACAGTTATATAGACAACCATTATTTTTTACGTTTATCCAATTGTATTTTAATATGATAAGAAAGTCGAATTCAATCAATAATTAGATACAAATAAGTTTCCTTAAAAATTAAATATGTATATATATGTATATATAAGGAAGATGAAACAGACAACGTCAGTGAACTAATCTAACACTACAGTAGAGAAGGAAGTATATTGTAATTCTACAAAAGACGTCAAATGTAATTCCTGTTTCATTTTCTATTTATAGATAGCACAACAGAAATATTGATGAGGTTTATTAGTTTGTTAAAATAACTTAAAACTAATAAATCAACTGATTAAGATGGACACAATTAAATTTTACTTCATGAAACAAATTCTGATACATATGTGATCGATTGTTCTTACTTCTATTTACTTCTATTATCATTGATGTACAATATGAAATGATATACTTCTTTCTTGATCTCTATCCACTAAATATTTTCATTGGGGAACATTGTAGTAAGTATTAGGTTGGAAATAGTTAAGATTTATAGTAGGAAATAATAATGTAACTCTCAATTATTTCAATAATCTTATAGATATGAGTTGTATTTCCTAGTTATATTATTCATTTGTGTAATCGAAACATAAATGGAATAATTACATTCACCCGAAAAAATCAGTAGACAGAAGTTTATGTTGACATATTACCATGTAATTCGTTAATCAAACAAACACGTACTAATAGACGTGTTACGTTTTTGTGTGCTGTTTAAGTAGTTTAATGCAATGTAATCGATCTGAGAAAGGAAATCTTAATAGTAACTATTTTTACGTTCCATTTGTATTCAAAAAACAGTGTCTTGGATCTTTTTTCATTTTGTTTATTTAGTTGTTAGCATAAAATTGTAATGGTAAGCTATTTCAGTATTCGTTGGCCGGATACCATTAGCAACAGCCTACTGTGAGAGAGAATTTAACCAGCTCCCAACTGAAGAAGGAATTAGGAAAAAACGATGGAGTTGGATAAGATATACATTGAAGAAATCATCATCATGAGGCAAGCGCTAACTTGAAATGATGGAGGTAAATGGGAAAGAGGAAGGTTGAAGAACACGCTGCATCGAGTATTGGGAGCAGATATGATTAGGATGAATAGCAACTAGAAAGGATTATCTACGATAGAATTGGATGCAGAATGCTGGTGAACGGCTTTCGCTAAACCATGAGAAGTAACAGGCGTAAAGAAGTAGTTATATAATATCTATTGCCTAATGATGTTAAGTTTGAAGTTTATTGTATTTATGAAAGTAGTTTGATAGTCGAATAGTAGGTATACACTGTTATGAAGACGATAAAACGTTTCTTCTAATAAGAACTATTGTTGTATAAAATTTATTACTTTTAATTTCAGGTTTAATCGATGGCAATAATATTGGAATCATTTCGTTCATTGTTAGATATAGAACACGAGAATAGATCATAGATAAGTTTGAATCTAACTTCTAATACTCAACAGAAATTTTCAATAAAAAGAATTAAAAAATCTTTCATTTAAGATTAAATAACAATCACTAATATCAATAAATAAAAACAAGAAAATCAGTTAATGGTAGTAATTTTATAGTTGAAATTATGAATCAATTGAAGCTAGACCACCATGGAAAATCTGGAAGCACTGGACGGCCGCTTCGTCCTATTGTGGGACTTCTCAGCAGTGCACATCCACGATCTCGCCTCGCAAGATTCAAACCCAGGACACATCAGTCTCGCGCGCGAGCGCTTAACCACGAGACCACTGGGCAGGCATCCGACGTTCGTCCAGTGCTTGCAGGTTTCCATGGTGGTCTAGCTTCAATCGACTCATGATTTCAACTATAAAACTACTGAAATGTCCACAAAAGTCCCTTCTAATATTAGTAATGTTCAATGACAAAACGCATGGACAATATTTATTTATTCATATTTGTTTTAATATATATTTTTATTGTCAAACAAAAATTTAGGGAAAAGTATTTGACGGACAAGAATAATTACGTCATTCCATTCCATTTATGATGATACATATATACATTCGTAGTCAGGTTTGTGAAATAATGCAGAAAGGATTGTTTTAAGGTTGTAATCAAAGAAATTAGAACATGTTCAGATTGTATTATAAGTTGAACTTAGTCTCGATTAGATTGTTTTGCTGTTGAAATCATAATAAATGCATGATGTGCAATAGATCATTTATATAAGTTTATTCACAACATTTTTTAGAGTTTGCCATGAAATATCTACAGTTAGTTTTCATACCATTATCACTATTACAAAGAATATTAGAATCTTACGTAACAAATGAAATTTCCAAGATGTGAAGAAATCTTTAGTTAAACCTCTATAAAGATAACAGATAAATAGGTCTTCCTCGAAGATGAGATATCTAATATTAGAACGAAAGATTTACGAAAATGATTTAATCTTCGGAAATTCTGATTTAAAAGACCACTTGATTAAAAACCTATTGACATGTTTTACAAACGCGCACAATAGAAAAGATGTATTCACTTTTAATCATCTATCCCTTAGATCTTAAATTTTAAAATTACATTATATCTTTTATTCAGTAAATTCATTGCCTTTTAATGTATCACACGATGTATGATTAATGTTTTTTTTGGAGCTGATACAATAACTACTTATAGGACTTCGAAATTCGACTTGATAATTTTTAGATTGTTCTTTCATCGTATGGCTACTTGGACCAATTTATATTTGTTCAGGTTCCAATATTCCTATGACTGACTAACTGATACAACCAATGAAAACGAAGTAATATTGAACTAATTTTTTAATCCTAGCTTCTTAACTCATTATTAATGATCATTTTAATTTATTGCTGAACCTTATAATTCCAAATGCTGTTAAATTAATTCTTCATAATATTTCCTTCATAGAATGATGTATATGGTTGAAAAATATTCAACTTATCACCTTCATTGAACTTTCAATCCAGAATACATAAACAGAGAAAACAAAAGACTATTATTATGTGTTAAAATCTGTGAATTATTCTTAGATCATTTTCAGAACTGAATATAAAACAAAGCAATTCTATCAAGGTTGCAAATGAGTGTGGATGTTTCTGTAAGATATAGAATTTAAACTGAAACGGATTTTATCAGAAGGGGTTTGGTGGAGACTTCAGTATTTTCATAGTTGAGATCATTAGTCCATTGAAGCTAGACCACCATCGAAAACCTGGAAGCACTGAATCGCCGTTTCGTCTTATTATGGGACTCCTCAGCAATGCGCATCCACGATCCCGCACTCGCGAGATTCGAACACAGGACCAACCAGTCTCGCGCCGGAGCACTTAACCGATAAACCACTGAGCCGGCATCCAACGGTGTTAATGTCTAACTTCAACCGATCCAAGAAATTGAACAACAGATTTTAATAAGACATCAATATATTTATATGCAACACTACAATTAATAAGAATAACGAATTTCCTAGAAGAGAAAATTAGACATCAACTGTTAAAAAAAAAGAATAACCTATGGTCAAAACATTTTTTGTTGTTGATTTTTACACATTTTTATTAGCAAACAGAATTCTAATTCATAAACATAATCTTTAGATATTTAAATAAACACATAATAACCAATTTTATCATCCATTTTACTAATAAGATAAAAAGAACACCATCAGAATGGGTTTTTGTGGATATTATAGTAATTTCAATAGTTGAGATCATAAGTCCATTGAAGCTAGACCACTATGGAAAATCTGGAAGCACTGAACAGCCGTTTTGTTCCATCGTGGGACTTTTCACCAGTGCGCATAAACGATTCTGCCTCGCGAGATTCGAACCCAGGACCTATCAGTGTCGCGCGCGAGCGCTTAGCCCATAGAGGAGTCCCACAATAGAACGAAACGGCCGTTCAGTGCTTCCAGGTTTCCACGGTAGTCTAGCTTCAATTGACTAATGACCTCAACTGTTAAAAAAATAGTTTTGAGATAACTCACTTGACTTGTACGTATTATTCCAGTTTGTGATTCAATGATAAAATGTTTATTAACTTCATCGTCTATTTGTATACTATCAGACTTATGTGAGTCTTTTTCTCCTTCGCTAAGTGATAATGTTGAAGAAGGTGCAAATTTATAACTTAATACAGCTGCTCTATCTCTGTCTAATGCTGTAGTTGTAAGAATATCCATTCCTGGTGGTGCATTTTCTGGTACTCGACTAACATAAACTCGACGTGAAAATTCCGGTTGAAATTCATTTACATCAATAATTTGTACAGTAATTACTCTAGCTGAAGTTAATTGTTGTGGTTTACCATAATCATGACAAACAACTGTTGTACGAATAGTTGACTCACTTTCATAATCAAATACTTTTGCAGTGCGTAATGAATAAATCCCCGGAGTACTAGGAGTAAGTATAAAATTTTGGTTTTTTTTTTCACCGTTTGATAATATGTTACTGTTCGTATCATTCAAGGAACATGATACTTTAGAATTATCACCAGTATCATCATCACGAACGGTTAAAACTGCTATTTGACTTGGTGGAGAGTTCTCCAAGATACTTAATTCATCACCGGGTTTTGGTCTATTGAAACTGTTATGATCTGATTCACCTGTTTTTGACTCACCTCCTTTATTTTGATCAGATGAACTAGTAACTAGTGCTGCTCCAGCAGCCACAGCATGAATTGATGGTGGGAAATTATTCACATCTTGTACAGTAAATGTGATGTCAGCAGTTGAATTCTCGTTCCCACTGCATGCTCTATTTACTGCATCACATGCAATTACTTTAAATTCATAGCTATCACGTATATTTGCTGCTAACGGTCTCCTTAGTTTAATTTCACCGGTATCTCTAACAAGCTCGAATGTTTCAGTTAAGTCAGAATCAATATTTCCATGAAAACTATACATAACCCTACCTCTTTCTCCCGAATCAATATCGGTAGCGTTCAATTGTAATACTACAGTACCAACTGGAATATTTTCAATTAATCGTTTATTAAATCGGTTGTTTGCTAAACGTGGGCTATTATCATTTTCGTCAAGAATTTGAATTTCTAGCGTTTGTCGTGTACATGCACCAGGATCACATGCTTCTAAGCTTGCCTTATATTCAGATACTTGTTCCCTATCAAGTGGACGTAATAATTCTAAACGAACAGTGGGGAGTCCAGATAAATCTAGTTTAAATGTACCTGTAGGTTCGACAAGAGTATAACGTTGTATCTGATTTTCAGGGTCAATATCTGCATCTGTTGCTGCATTAATACTTATTAGTGTGCCCACAGTAGTAGCTTCAGATAAAGTGACTGTTTGACTTTGTGCACTGAATGTTGGTCTGTTGTCATTTTGATCTTGAATTTCCACTTTCAGTAAAACACTAGCAGCGAATTCTCCTGCAGCTTTATTTGTTACAAAAATACTGGCTTTTAATTCACATGTAATCACACCACAACAAAGTTTAAATTCCGGACATAATCGTTCTCTATCAATTAAACGTCCAACACGTATTTCACCAGTTGTTGGTGTGACTGTAAAAAATGTACTATCAGTTAAAAAATGCATTTGTGATCGTAAATTAACGGGTAAACTTGATATAACTGAACCAATACGCGTAGATGGTGCAATTTCTTCACGCATACGAAGACGTAATTCAATTTCATCTACTGCTAAACATTTTCCTGATAATAGTAAAACCCAATAAAAAATCCATAAAATTAACTTTAACTGATAGTAATGACTATATAAATAATTCATTATTTAGTCAGTAAACTTCGACTGAGTTGAATGACGACTTGAAAGAGGTGAATAATATTAATAATCCACAATTTCTTGTTTATAGAAATCCATAATGATAAAGCAATTCTTGTAGTATATACAACGGTCGTAGTGATTATAATGAAATTAATACAGGAAATATATATTTGTGTTCTTTTTTGTTTTTTAAAAATATATATTCACCAATTCAAAGCATCTATTCATGATGAAAATTATAAAATTGTAAAATATAAACCATTACTTGTGGTTAAAGAATCTTCGAATAGTGAGCGATAAAGGCACATACTATATGTAGATATACATTTACATATATGTATATATTTGTGCATTAATACAAATTGACTATTACACAGACACACCAGTTAAAAGTTCCCCTATTGTGCATACTGAAACAAAGTGTTGATTTGTGTAGTTAGTCTAGTAATTCAGACTTTAAAACATGAAAAAGTATATGTATATCTTTATATACGTACATGCGTACATATAAACATCCGGTATTCATTTAGAAATAGTATATTCAATGAAAACTTTGTATAATTCCTTTAAACTGAAATATATATAGATTCATAATGAAAACAAATCCAACCAAGTTAGTTATACACCATGAACTCATGTTAATGTATAAATAGAATTACAAAAAGGTGGAAAAAAAACCTGTTCTATGCCAATGTAAAATGTTAATTAAATTTATGATGGTAATGCTTTTATATTAAGCATCAAGTGAAAAAAGAAACAAAATAATAATAACAATGGTAACTAGTACAGTGAGTGTATCTAATTTAGAATAACTGAGTGAAATTGGTTAAATGACCTTGAAAAGATTGTTAAGATTATAAAATTGGGAAACAATCTGTAAAAATGGACATAAGTGTTGTTAGGTAGAGAAAAAATATTAAGATGGATATAAAGACATATAATTTTGACCAATAAGATGAAAATGATAGGAACCCACAAACTATGATCATATTATTATTATCTAGTGATTTGAAGTATGTAAAAATGTTTTCTAAGTGATTTTTACTTTGCCTACTACAAGATACATTGAAATACATTTTGAAAACAAAATCTATTATGTTAGATTGATTTATAAAAGAATAGTAGATTGAATCTCATAGATATTATCAATTTCTGTTGTCATTAATAAACGGTAGAAATAAATGAATATAGACTAAATTTAAACTGATAATCTGAAAACGATGAATATAAGTCTTCTTCAAATATAATTGGATCATTCATTTTCTATGGATAACTATTCAAAGATAAAGTGACTGTTAGGTATTAGTTGACAACAAATAGTAATAAGATGGAAAAAATATAATATTACAATTCAAAAAGTTAAGTGGATCTTTCAAATAATAAATTGCTACAAAAAGATGCGAATTAGTCAGGTTAAATACAGATACATAAGTTTATGATTAGAAAGAATTTTTGAAAATAGTTGACTGCTGTTATTAAAGAATCATAAGTGAAATTACTAACTCACATGTACCAGTAATAATTATGGGGAGTTAGATAAGATGGATCGTCAAACGGAGTATATTTAGAAGGAATATAAAGTATAGGATATAAAGTCAAGTAACCAGGTATTCAAACACGATGGCGGCTTCATTTGGTCAAACGTTAACTATGCGCTATTTCATTCTGTACCCAGAATTTCAACATTTTAAATACGTTTACCATACGATCTTTACAGACGCTAATATACGAGTATACTCTTATTTTCTAACAATTTAATAATTACTTGATTTTATCTATAACAAATTCACGGCTCAGCAGGATCCTATTGTTACACAAGATGTTTGCAAGTATACATTCTGACAATATTTTTCAGACACCAATCAACTAGTTAATGCGGTGTCTCTTCGTATGACACATATATATATATATACAAGGTGGAAGTTTAAAGTAGCTGAGAGGATACCGTGAACTAAGTTTTCGTGTTATTTTGCACTCGTTAGCAACATATACCTATAACTTTGAGGAGAATATTGACCTCTAGGAGATTCGACTAATTGCTACACTACATGTACATATATATCGTTAGGAAGTACATGTTCATTGCTGACCAAATTATCATCAAAAATTCGCTGGCGTATGTTGATATTCTGCTTATGAAAAATTATGCGAAACCATCAGTTCATTTGCTCATTTGCTCACAAACCATATGGAATTGTTCACTCTTATTTTCAACTAGTAAAAATTAAATTTCCACAGTGATCTGGGATTGCTTGTTTCTAACATCCTGAAATACTTGTCGAACAACCAATTCTCAATTTTTACAAAAGGATAGATCATGGAATTATAACAGTTGATTCCATATGCTAAACTACCGGATTGTAACTCTTATGAACTTAGTTTTTATGTTACGCAGCTGTAGTTATACTAGGTATGCTAAAAAATTGAATGAACGTTGATGTAAGTGCTTATTTTAAGAACAATTTATTACTTGTTGTTGTTGTTGTTGTATATCTATCAAACAAACTTAATACACTATTCCAAAATGTCAACCTATAATACGAACAAGTTGTAATTCCTTTACTCTTATTTTAACCACTGATATTATGAGTGAAATAAAAGATACACAATAAAAAAATACTAAACAATTTCTCTCTTTATAATCAGCTTTATTTCTCAAATTTGAACCATTTAATTATTTAAAAAATATTTTAAATAAAACCAAGGTTATAATTCATTTTTAATCTTTTGAGAACTAATTAAAATGGAAACATAGTAACAGTTGTTTAACAAAGAAAGTTTCCTTACAAATATTGATTAATCAGAATATTAATTTCCATTCAAAAAAAAGTTGGTGATATCATTAAGCTTGAGTGGAGTTTTTTTGTTTAATTTGTTGACGTACATTGTTTTTCTGCTATGTCCATGATATTATAATGTAACTATCTAAAGGTCTATTAAGTTGTACAATATCATGTGCTTCCGTTACATCATAAAGTTATGTCATAATTTTATAACTAAGTTCTATAAAGTACAAATCAGTAAACAGTGATCAAATCAATAGTGAGTGGAAAACATTTGGTCAGTTATTAATAGAATAAGAAAAAGAAGTGACATTATGTCAGATTTGAACTTAAACACTAAATGGTAAGGAAGTAAAAGAAGATCATAACAATTTCAATGAATAAAACATTTAAATATATAAAATTTTTAATAGCTATAGTATATGTTTTTTGTGGTGAATTTGAGCCATAACTCGACGGTATATGTATTTAGCGATACACAAACTCATTATCCTGCCAAAACGTATTATAGAAGTTAGAATGGACCAATGTATAAGGACTAGAAATTACTGTGAACACATGTGATTTTATTTTACTACGATATATAAATAATGTGTGTAGTTTTATTTATTCCGAAGAAGTGATTTACATTAAGTCACGAAGCATCAGAAATACAATTTTTCTACTCATTGGGATATAAAAAAAATATATTTATTATGGGTCAATAGTTATATTCAAAAGATTTATCATTTTTATGAATACCCTCAAAATTATATAAAAAAACAAGTTTGATGTTCTTTTCAGTCTTAGCAACTGCTAATTTCCTAATCTAACAAGTGTGGATTTCAAGTGGAGATACACGAAATTTTAGAATTTAACAAATTCTAGCCTTCAATTGCATACAATTTTTACTGTTGAAGTCAGAAACTTAGTTAAATAATTACAAACAGATACTTTAAAGGTCTATTACCATTTCATTGTATCTTTATTCAGATATGTATATGCTTAACGTCGTTTTTTGTTAGAAAAATTCCCTTGTATACTAGAGAGATCTTGACAGTTTAAGGAATTCCGACTTAAAACTCCACAACAATGCACACATAGAAAGTTAACATCTAGCTATATTAAGTAACGATAACAAATCTTGAAATAGATTAAAGTTTTGTGAAACATTCAAGTAGAGGATATTTACTTCGACAAGATTATCTAGATGACAAATAAGAAGATAGTTAATAGATATTCAATCGTTTATTTGATTGATTACAGAAATCGATTCAATTTACTTTGCTGTAAAATGATTTCCAATAAAGAATCATTAGAATAATGGAATAGTGAAAAGCTGTACTGATCTCAGTTTTTCATACTGACAACTCAACTAGTCATCAAATCATAAAACTTCTTACCAACAACCTTAACTATAAACCCCTTAAATCAATGGTCAATGGTACATATTCTGAATTTTAATCACTTTTATGATACATTGTAAAAAAATGATTAACCTTTATCATCAGTGATAATTGCATCACTTCCAACATAATTGAGTACTACAATTTTTTTAACTTTTCACTGGAACTTCTAAAATTAATCCCTAAGCTAATTCTTAATGGATAGATGAATGATTATCTAACCTAAATCATTTTGTGATCAAATACATTGATTTCTAAAGTAATCAAACAAGATTAATGATAGCAATGCTAGACGATCAGATAAATATTGTCTAACTGATTGAAAGTTATTTCTTATTTATTGATAGTTTGTTGTCTATTGTAGAGATTTCAACTTACTGAAGACAATTGATGAACGGTTGCTCAAAAATCGTGGATTGGTTGAAGTTAGATGTTAACACCGTTGTATGCCAGTTCAGTGGTCTATCGGTTAAGTGCTCCGGCGCGAGACTGGTAGGTCCTGGGTTCGAATCTCGCAAGTGAGAGATCGTGGATGCGCACTGCTGAGGAGTCCCATAATAAGACGAAACGGCCGTCCAATGCTTCCAGGTTTTCGATGGTGGTTTAGCTTCAATTGACTAATGATTTCAACTATGAAAATACTGAAATCTCCACAAAACCCCTTCTGAGTTTATAAATAGTTAATTTGCTTGTATACTAAATCAATTATACACTTAATTACTATAATCATTGTATGTTATGTTAATGATTTATTCTATAAATATTACCTGAATACAAAAATATTCTAGAAACAAAAAACGACAACATGAAAAGTGAATGAAGTTTTTTATTTCGATTTTTTTTTCTTTTTCCTACATAAGATATCATTATTACATAAGGAAGGACTGCTTAGGCATCATGAAAAAATTCCAACAGAATTAATTGTTATATGTCAGTCGGTTACTATAACGATTTATCATAAATACATATTCCTGAAATTGTATAACATAATTAGTAAATGTAACATTCTTTGTTGATGGATTTCAATATTTCAATTCATTAAAAACTCTTAGTAAATCAGTATTTAATTAGTTAATCATTATGAT